CAATCCCTTTGGTTAGTATTAAGTTGTATGAAATTGTCATTAATCGTGTTAAGTTATCGCGGCAAACAATACCATTCAGCGAATTAAACACTGATGAACTAGAACATAATAGTCCTCTAGCGTCTAACTGAGGTGTACCTGTAACATAATTTTGGCTCGCCTATAGGCTACACTGTATACCCGTAGCAACAAAAAGCTGATTGAACTGAACCAAACGGTCCGGGAACGGAATCTATGAATCGATGTGACACATGTCAGTGGCTGTAAAAAGGCAAGAGTCAAGTCTTTGAGACTGCTTCTTTATGGTATAATATTTTGCGCCGTGGTATTATGGTCAGCGTAAACGGCAGTTGTCGCATCAAGTACGATTGTTGCGAAACGCGTCAGCGTCAAGACTGTAGTGAGATTGTTCGAGTGGTCTGCGTTGTGGTCTCTCTATGGATGTGGGTGGACGCACGCGTCTAGTTGCATGCCGTAGGACAAAGAAGAACAGCCGTCACAGCAGAAACGAGAGACGTCCGGCTTCGTTGAATGTGGAACAAGGACTGTGGTACTGAGGTAGTGCGCTGGAGGCGAGGAATGAAAGCCGACTGGACCAGACCAGATTGACTGTAGAAAGGCACTGCCTGCTTAGTTCGTTCATTCATTTGTTCATTGGTTTGCCGTGGGTTAACAGCTTGAGCGGACTCTGCTGGTCAGCGCACAGGCGTCTATGGTAGCAACTAGAAAAACCTCGAACAAAGGGTAGCGATATACCAGTAGACGTCATCAGCATCAACATCGTCAGCGAACCAAAAAAGCAGACTGCTACGCTCATGTCATTTACTCTGCAAATATCGAATAAGCAAGCGATTAACCAACAAACCATGCGAGAAGCTGTATGTGGTTGTTGTTTTGCTTGCTTTCGCTGCCGCTAGCTGGTCAACAGGGGGAAGTGTCATCAAAACGAAACAGGAGAAAAGAAGAAGCCAGAAGGACCAGCGACAGCGTCGCCGATAGCGACGCTGATCGCGATAGTGGCTGTGACTGAATGACTGACGCCTACGCAATCATTCCCTATAAAACTCGACTGCTGTAGCTATGCCACACTCCGTTATACGTACGTAGCCTTATACGCGTTGCTGCTGTTGAGGGAGGCGCCACCTATTACCATTGTGAAAATGCCTCTGTGTCACAATAGGTCATTGTACGACGGAAAGGGGTGAAGCCGCCGGACCCCAACGTAGCCTAGCGAGGCGCGGTTGGGGTTGTTGCATTTGCCAAGTAGGAAGGAAAGAGTAAAAGGCATGCGTACACAGACAATGAGATAGAGCCACGACGGTGAGGTCCTTCTAACGCGGATATACAAAGCAAGGAACGAAAGAAATAGATTACGTGTGTGGCCGAGAGTATATCAAATGTTGCGATCGCTCCTACGTGCGTCACCGCAGAAAGTAGCAAAAGGAAAACGCGGAGAATATGAGGCCAGTAGGGTGACAGCAGTGGCGAGAACAAGGCGGGAAGATGCACAAAAATAAAGGAAATGGCAAACATCTTTACTGGAGATGATTTGTACAAGTGACGTACATTCGTATAGGTTTAGATATGAGAGATCAATACTGAAGGCAGAAATGAGGGCTAATAGTTTTGCAGACCGAAAAACACGGGACGCTTATTATAATGATTTCGTTTCTGAAGCAACTGGTAAACATTTAGCTTTATGAGCCGCTGGCATCGTCAGAAAAAAAGATGCGAATCTCATTGATCTGTTACTGCCCAATATTGGACGTCGTTTTGTCAATTAGGCCAGAAACCTTCTAGGCACATTAAGATTAGGTATCAGTTTGTTCAATATCATCTTATCTTGTCTATGTGTATTCGGCCCATACAGAAGGATAAGCTAAATGCGTATTTCGTTGCATAAGCTTTCTCATACCAGTCATCCGAAAATTTTGTTTGTTTATTTACTACCTATAAAGAAACAATAGTCTCCTAGAAGGTGTTCTGTATTCACTATGACGTTATGTTAGCATTAGAAAAGCATTCTTAAATCTACTGCGCCATAGACCTAAATACAGACCTAAAATATTTAGTTGAGCAGCGAAAGACAAATCTGTCTTAAATACAAACAGCAATATTAGTGGTTAGCAATATAGTTGGTATGATCCCGCTTTCCTGCCTAGATAAGCTATGTTTTTTTTAATAGGACATCTTTATGCCTTGTTTAGATTAGGCGAAGCACCATTACTTTTCAGTGACAGGTCGAAAAATAAAAAGGTTAGCTTTGTATTCATTTTTCGGCAAAAACTTGTTTACACCTTTATACCAAAATATTTATAGCCTCACTACGAGCTAAGCATGTTATATCGATGTAATGACATACGGCCGTACATTTTACTATTACAAACAACTTCATATTTATTTCATTAGCTGCGACAAAATTTCTGCAGAGCGCCCCTATAACAGGTCACCCGCCAACTTCACAACGTCGCTCAGCTTTTCCCTTCCGAAATGGGACAGCAGAGCCACACTGTTCAGCTGTCATGTTCCGTGCTTGTTGTATCTATGGGTGCTACACTTAGCGCTATAGAGTATCTATAAGGGACTGGCTACAGGAACGGCATAATGGGCGATCGGGGAATGGGCGACAGTGTAGCCGTCAATGCGGGCGGTTATGGCCGACGAAGCAACGACGGGGGTAGCCGCGTAGTGGGCGATCGGGGCAACGACGGGGGCGTACGAGTCAGCGCGGGTGGTAATGGCCGATGAGGTTACAACGGGAGCGGCAGCAGTGTAGTGAACAACCGGGGCGGCGATCGGAGCCGACAAAAGAGTTCCACCGTGGACGATAGCCACAAGGGCAGCAAAAGCGGCGAACTTCAACATGGTTGTTTATTGATAGATGCTGAGAACAACTCTGCGACGCGATGGGTTTGGATACCAACCTTTTTATACGATTGGCGAAGCCATAAACGCTGTATAATCGCTACGGATCGCTTAATAAGACATTGGGAGCTGCTCTTCGGCACTGTGGAGAAACACAAAATCCACATTCACTTCTTCGACTTTCACGGCCTTCAGTGACGTTGACCCTCGCCTGCACAATACGAGTCCGTCGTCTTGGCAGTTTTGGCCCTCCGGACTAAAGCGAGGGTAAATCAAGCTTTGTCGTCATATGTTTCTAGTATCTCTCGGCTACTGCATAGCTGTGAACTCGGTCTAAAACGCAAAGTCGCGCTTACCAAAAAAAACAAGACAACATCAGAAACAACAGAAAATAATGCGCATTCTCCGATAGAGACAACGGACTTGAGCCGTTTCTAAAGCATCAGAACAAATGAGTAGATCTATGTCAGTCACCCGGCCATCGACTCCTTCAAATGAAGAATAAGCAGGCGAAGGACTCTTCTGGACATTCAGGCGCCAAATAATACGCAACACACTAGCCAAATGATGAGATGTGCGTATGTGCCACAGGATGTCGTATTGTACGAAAATTGTCTCATCCATCTAAATATCCAATTAAGAGCAACGAAGATACGGCATCGAGGGACGAACACATTACTGCATATGAAGGACCTTGAATTTGTGAAAATGGCCGAGTTCCAGGAGTTTTTCTCAGCGTGGAAGCGCTCTTGCCAATCGAACCCCCAATAGTACCGATCAAAATTGGTTTCTACGGATTGCTGAATGAATACAGGGACAAACAGAAAAAATAATAGAAAGAAAGACAATTTTGCTGTCCACCCATCTGACGGGCTGACGAAACTGATTCATCCTGTATAGATGTAAGTACCAAATTCGTATTTATCTCATGATAATCACTTATTATTATTAATTATGGTGCGAATTACTAGTTCCATTTAGTCCACTGTCCTGGGGAGTTTGTATCTACATTACACTCAGGTAGTTCGTTAAGACAACTGTGGTTCACTCCCGTCCCTGCGTTGGGCAACAATACTGAGCTTGACCCATTTGCAAACCCCGTTTGATGTTGTAATTAAATAATAATATCCTATATCCGGTCCTACGAGTATTGCCATCGTTCCCCTCGACCTAAATACAATCAAAACGTTCGTTTTAAGGAAGCACTTTTTAGCAGTGTAATTTGCACATAATACTACGCAAGCACATAAGCTTGTACTATATTGATGCGGTACGCATACTAAGGCCATTGTTATGGATCTATTTTTTTTTAAAAAAAAAAAACAGCCTTATCGGACGTACTACTTCAACGATGTCCTGTTCGTATAATTATGTAAGTACCTGTTATAATTAAATGTGCTCCTTTTAAACTTTAAACTTATGGGATTGATGTTAGTAAATAAATTTATTCTTTATTATAGTATTCGAAACCTCACGAGGTGTCACTTGAAATGTGGTTTACACTTATGCATAACGCGTTGCTTCACATGGACTAAGCAAGAAAAACACCGCAATAGGGTAAAGAGTGACTGTCAAATAGATTGCTAGAAATAGCAACTCCGCAGCGCATCCCACCAAAATCTGTTTGTCCGCAATGTTAGAACGGGCGTAAAAACAAACGCATGACGAAAATTATTGTCAATTACCATTCAAATACTATATAATGGTATTAGATTCGTCGCTCTGGCCTATTATTATGACTGCGCGTTTCGTATCATCACTAAACTAGAATACTCCACCGGTGTTATTCCTCATTGCTGCCAACTTTGTACTAGTGAAGTTAACGCTTGGAATCAATGCTATGACAACACGTAGCTTTAGATTGTTTTCGGGGAGAGAGAATGTGGGCACAACACTGATCGAGTTTCTTTCCTGTTTTTTCGAGCGGTTGTTTTTGTTAATTTTGATGATAATGCTTTTATGAGGAACATGACTATTATCATTTCGGTAAAATTCCGCGATTAGTAACTACGTAAGATGATCTCAATAGGAGTCGCGAAAGTCGGCCGATACCGGCAAAGAGCGTTCGTTTTAAATCGGTTTCTGTATGACTCCTCACCTATTTCGACGCTACGGCACGGTTGTTTGGGCTGAAATTTACCCGAGGACGGTACAGCGATTTATCTTCTACTTCCTTTGTTATCGACTCATGCAGATTTCGAATGGGCCAGTTTCATTTTGGTCAGTCCGCTGTTAGGTTTTGTGTTTTTCGAGTTTCTGCCTACTGCAAAGCATTGTGGTACTGAATTGAATTGGCGCACGTATTACTCTTCTCCGCAGGTAAGTCTTGCGAAAAAAAAGTCCAAGCTGTCCCTCTGCTATACTAACAGTGACGATATATGCTGAAGAGATAGAACCGATTTGTTAATAAACTCTAATCGAAGGTAAAGTTGATAATGTATGGGGGTAATTAATGTGTCGATATATAGTCGTTCGTATATAACTCAAAAAAAAAAGGACGATCTATTTGTACATGTCTCAACCAGTACAAACGAACTGCGGCAGGCACAAAGACTAAGTCGTTCATTGATTTAAAACCATGCTGTCCTTTATAGAAGTAATTGCTGATCTTTAGGCTGCCCCTCTAATCGTCAAAACTTTGATGACTCGGCAGCCTTTTATATGTAAAATTTCGTTTTCGTGTCTAGAACAATACATGACTCCTTGGGAATAGGCTCAAATGTATCTACCCAAACGACGACCAGAAAATAAAATAGATCATAGAACCATACGCACCGATTAGTCGAATCTTTGCAACGTTTCCTATTGTTGAAAAAAAAACAAAGCCTAATGTGTCCTTAATTTTAAATAAGCTCATACATATTTCGTGCTGCATACAGTACTCAATTAGAGAAATAAACATGCGTATTTTTATCTATCTGTTTGATTAGCGAAAAACCTAACCATGGACCATTGTCTTATTTTTATCTCTATTTGACATGTACGCCTTGTTCATTATCGCCTTTCCACATGACGCATCGATAAGTGTACCAATATTCAAATACTTCGCTACGTATGATGCAACAGATGATCGCTTACTGAAAAACTCAATTAAAAATGATCTATCTGTGATTGCATTTGAAATAGATAGAATATAGAACGTTTTCTATTTTTAGCCTAATTTTTAGTCATTTTAATTGCCATCCAGACTCCAAGAAAACTTCAATATTTTTATTATTATAACGGAACTCTCGCAAAAATGAGCTGTTCTGTTAATTACTGACAACATTTCGCCGGACTGTCGCAATTCCCTTTTCAATGTATCAATCTATATTCAGGCGCTGGTAGTCACGTACAATCGCCCATCAGTCATGAAGGACCCCAAAATTCTCGCCCTCATCTTCGCTCCGATCCTACTTTCTATCGGTAAGTAGATAAAGGACATATAAGGTGACGAATTAACGGCGGTGTTCTTCGATTATCACCAGCGATTAGTAGGCCAATCTTAGATAAGCAGAGCAATGGAAGTTACTTTAACCTCTTGTATTTGTCGCGCTTGCATTCACTGACGAGCACTAAGTTGATTTACTTAATTTTACAATTAAGGTATATCCACTGATAGAACTATACTTTGAAGCGTTTGATATTGATCCAGAACATCACGCTGAAATAATCTCTAAATTATAATTGCTACGTTAGAAGATTTTGCTTGCTATCGGCCAGCTCCTTCCCGAGATATAATGGTCCAATTGAACAAAACGAGACCGGAACACCTGTAGTTATTTCCCTTTATAGTCCATTAGATGGGTCTTGAGCGTGGGACTCTCTCACCTGCGCACAAATAAACGAAACCTTGTTCGGATGATGCAGAGTGAGATAATACCCACTAAGCCGCTATCTCTCTTTGTGGGTCCCTCTGAGGCCTGGAACTGTTTGAAAACATCACTTCAGATACTTCGAAACCTGGGGAGGGATAGAGTTGCTCTTGCCGACACTCCTTTAAATTCGTATCTTTTTCTCAGTGCACTTTTAGGTTCTCTACTAAGCGGTCCCGATAAAGGTTCCCGTTCCTTTACTTCACTAATATATAGATTGAATCACATAGCCAGCGGCGTCCTTAACCATGCATGGTCCAAGATAGACCGCGTCCTAGACTTTTCTCAAACGTTCCACGGTTTCACGTTCAAATACAGGGTAGCGTATCCCATAGATTTGATTTGACGCGGATAATGCGCACGCAATGGATCTTCTACTTATGCCCAGTAGCCAGCATTCGAATATTGAAGTTAATCTCCAGATGCTCAATGATCGATCTTACAGATAATGTTTCAACACTCGATACAAGTATCGTTTAATAGCTTTTTATGCAAAGTATACTCTATTGAAAACATGTGATCGATTCAGAAGAGCAGGTTCGTCAATGTACGTTGAACGATTTAATTTTCTCTCTGCGATTTTTAGAAGCTTTAGTGCACTTTTTCCATACAATCTGGAACCTGAGCGTATTTTCCAACGCGTATTGATCATTGTCAGCGTACATAGTATATGCTTGAATGGATATAAATAATCATGAACGCGTATCGCAAAAATTCGTAGATTTTATGCCAGCCTACACGATATATTACCATCCTAGACGCCTACATAAACACCATATGGTTGGCTTGTATGATTGATTACCGGCCTCAATTTCTTAGAGAATATATTAGCTTTTCCAGTATTATAGATATACACATACGCGTTTAACTCATATGCACTCTCGACCTATGGAACAGTCCGACTCCTGCTCGCTGGCGTCTTCTAATCCGGAATATATCGTTAGTGCATGCATAACGAATGCCCTTTGACTGTTCCTAACGCATTTATTTTATTACTTACTCCTAATTCTTTTTTGGCGCAAATCCAAGCAAAATATAAACAGTATTGTCACCTTTCGAAGGATAACAGATATCGTTCACACGGACGTAGCAATCAGCAACAGTAGATATGTTGACTGTGAGGTACTCTCCTGTTTATTATTATTGTTTTGTGCTTAGAAGCTCATGAGGCGCATATCAAATGTAAGAGGCTCTCTATACATCAATAAAATTACGAAAAATCAAATTGGCGCTGTGACATCCTTGTTCCTCAGCCTGGGGAGAAACCCCACGACGTCCAGTTTTCGTCTGCGTTGAGATGCCTGCCGATGCAAATGATGTCACACCGGAATCTCTGCTCAAAATTGAACAGGCGCTTAACACGTCAGGGGCATTCCTCACCACCCAAATAACCAGGCCTCATCGTATAGAGAATCTGCAAAATCGGAGCCCTAACGAGGTTCGCCCATTGACTACATCTAAAATTCCCAGCGTCGACGTTCAGCCGGCATTTCAGAGAGACTGGCCCCGTCCTCCGATTAAGCCTACAGAACGGAAACGGGAAGGTCGACGAGCACTTCTAAACAACTCCTTAACTCCCCGAACTGTACAGGGTGTCTCTGATCTGAGTCCGCCTTCAGATACTGGTATTTTGCTACATAGACCGATTGGACTCGGAGATCTTGAATCGCTATTCCAAAGAACGCTTGTAAGTATCCTTTGTAGACAACCTGTTTTTGTTACATTTGGCAAAACTGTGAACAAGATGAGTCATATGTGATAAAAAAACAAATCTGTGTTATCGAAATGAGGAGTGCGGTATAAACTAATTTCAAGTGAGGTGATCGATTCCTCACTAGTCGAACTTGAATAAATTGTAAACAAAACGATGAAAATGGCGTTTATCATATTTATTAGGTTTGAATTTGTTGTCTATCTGTCTCATAGATAGACGCATGCAAATCAGTCTACTCCGACATTCTCAGTCGCAGTCCTCACGCTACGCCTTTTCGCCACCGGAACTGTTCCGTTCTTTGCGTTTACGGATCTCCCCCAGTTGATATACCCGAAGGCGGAATGTGTTATCAGCAGGTGAGTAACACAATTAGACATTCAACTAAACGTTCAGAAAATAGCAGAATATCATGTTTTATATATTACGTAATGAAGTGTTTGTCTGTTAAGTACAAATCGTCACGCAAGCGAATTACATTAATCAGCACAACAACGGTGTAGAACGTTGCATTTACGGAACGCCCACCCGTTTTTTTGCAATATGTTGATCACTTACATGTTCGTTCTTCCACCAGAGAAATTTTGTAGGCACTCCAGGTCGCTGCAGGAATGGCGAATGCGTAATTTCCGGCAAGCCTTTCGAGTTCGACTTTCCTACAGAGCAATATGGAACATCTAATCCATTTTCGTTGGCGCCGTATGCGCCTGGCTTCACCCCTGATGTACATGTTCCTCAACGTGCGATTAAAGATACTGCGGAAAGAAGTTAAGCGAGTGCACATCTATCGTTGGGGCAGTCAACTGAACATACTTGCCCAACCAATAGCTCAGATACCTGCTGTATAGTTACACCCACGTCATGCGATATCAGTGAAGCTGAATCAAGTGTCATTATGGATTTTTGGCCAGTTTACCGCATTTATGTAATACATACAGAGTGAATTCAACAACAATAGCATCATCATCATCCTATAAGCGACTACTTGGTATTGTACGGATAGAAGCTTTCGTTAGTGTGAAGTTTATGTTGATCTTCAACTCGTCGCGACAAGCGACCAACGTTCAAGCCAACCGGCAAGGCTTTGCGTACCTCTGCTACGATATCGAGCTTCCGCAAAAGCGTCCTTATCTAAATTAAAGATTTTGTCCATTTAAAGCAAACGTCATAACATATTTCGAGCGAGACCCAATGTACGCTTTCGAGGGATGTATTGCTTCTTCATTGACACTAAACTGGAAAAGTTTTGCCACATAAGTATGAGCAACCGACAAATTGGGTCACGCCTCGATTCGCCTACGAGATTATACATCAGTCGGCCCAGAAAATGTAAAAAATGCTATTGGCTTTCCGTGTTTTTGTTAGTGATGAGAGGCCATTTGCCATAACACGTTTCGCCCATGAGAAGGTTTTTAGACACTTACAGCGCTTTGAATAATACAAACGCTGGAGGGTTCTTTTGGCATTTCTGACTATTTACCGTGCAAGCCATGTATTTAGCACGCAACTAATGTACCATTATTATAAAAATATATCTAACAAGAGCGGGTGTTCTCATTGTCTAGGGCAAATATTTCACGGGCATAGCAAAAAAAATGATCAATGATGAATAAAAGTACACTATTCTTAGAAACCATACTATTGCTTTTGTATAGTACAGTTTATCACGAATGCCCCCCCCCCTCCCCCCTCCGCCCCGCCTAACTTGTTTCAGCCGTATCAATCAACATCACCAGCTGCATTGCTTTACAATAAAAAAGGCCATTGCGGCCGCTTAATGCGATCTGGAATCTAATTATGCTCTAGACGTAGCTAGATTTTTTGTACGTAGAGCTTATAACTCATCAACCCGCATTTTCGAATACATCCGAACGCATGAGGCATGTTTTTCTGCAGCGCAGCAACCTTCCCTATAGTGGCAAACAAGTAAAAGCAGCATAAAGAATAAAACATGACAATTATTGTAGAAGCGGGTGTACTGACTGGCAAATCAAGTTCCATTTGAAGCAACAATCATAATTCTGATTGTGCGAAAGAGCTCGGACGATGTAACGTAGCCGAGGCAAAATCTATTCATGACGGCTTTAAGTAGTCCCCTACCGATATGTATTGAGTATCGATGATCAGCACTTTCCACTTTCGCCTGAAAATCATTCCTAGAACAAGGAAAAACGCACTTCACTTCTAGCAAATGAAAATATACAAACAGCTTATTGCGTCGGCAGCTTAGCTGGAAACTCCCCATGCGAAGGCTCGGGGATCAGTCTAAGGTACCGTGCCACCGAAAGTGGTCCGATAGGATGTGTTTATATAGAAAGCGGCTGAGTATTTGTTTCTGTATGTGTGACTGGGGCTCTTCCGAACTATGCGTCCGTTGAAGACAATTGCAGCAATTATATAATAGACGAATGACCAGAGTCGGCACTACGGAAGCTCCACCCAAATACTGTTCAAGGCCACACAGAAAGCGTAGTGAAGACCGCCACGCACATTCTACTAAAATCACTTCTATATACAGACCAGTAAACAATACACCTTGGACCCGTAATGTTAGTCGATCTTTCAATTAACGAGTTTGATCATTTACTCTCATGGAAGATCGCGGGCTATAGGGATGCTATCTAACTGCAAACGTTACCTCACAACGTAGGAATAAGACAATAAGGAAAGCCCTAACAATTAAAAAACTAAATACGTGCCTGTGACATAAATAATAACTAGCTTGCTCGTACATGGTTCTTGCATTCGGAATTGCACGTGACAGATTTGGCGTATCGTGCAATTTCGTTGTGAAACATATTTACGCACGTGCACGAGCTGAGTTACTGTCCAGCAACATTTAATTGTGAAATTTATCGGAATGCTTTATCTAACATGTCAAACTGGCCTGAATGTAGTCTACAGTTTCGTTCGACCTTATAATGCATCGTTGTTACAACGTCGTTGTAGGTATGCCTGATACATAGTCACACGATAGGTGTGATTAAGTTAGGAAAAACATAATTACTACTACAGAAGTTAGAATGGGACAGAAGTGTTGTGATGACAACATCAAACACGTAGCCACATGACGGATTCTTGTGGCGGCTTCTCCGACGTTTTCTACAGCGAGAGTAACTTTGGCCAAGTAAAAAAGAATCAGATCGATGTGTTCTGTTTCGTCAGCTTGTTTGAACGTCGCTACTCAAATCCAAACCATTCAGTAGAGCTGCTTTGAGTACTACCGCCATCAATGTCACCGAAAGTTAAAAAAAAATGTGTTTCAAAAGGAAGCTAGTTCCGGCTTAGTAGTGAAATCAATGAAACCGTCTTCTGCAACAAGCGGTACATTTCACATGAAACTTCTTACCGAGTGTTTATTGTTAACTCTCAGTGAGTTTGTTCCAGTAACCTCTTTTCGCTTTACGCTTACGAGGTACAAACTTGATCGTATAACAGCTCGAAGCGAAAAGTTATATAGCTTATATAAGAGGGAAAAAAACGTTATTTGAGCAATACCGATATACGCATAGAAGGGAACTTCCATGACTGAAAGTCAAGAACATTTTTTAGCCCCATTTCTGTCGCCCATATGATGATGGGACGTTGAGCTATATTTACAGAGACACGCTACAGTATCAAATATAATATTAATATATATAAATAAAAATATTAATAAAAATACAAGTATAACGCGTAATAGCTATTGACGATCATTGAACTTATTCTAATTAACATCGCGATAGTATGGCTCGCACGTTACTTCCGGTCGAAAGCAAACGACTAGCTCGTAGTAGTGCAATAATGCGCTTAAGGACGATGTGAGCCGTAAAGCGCAGACTTCATTGCTGACTTGACTATTTAGGGAGCATTTTTTCCGATTTGGCATTTTTATGCTAGGCCATCTACTGAGCCTATTGCAAGCCGACATATACTTCTGCTGAACTTATATTTGAAACGAAAAGTAACTTCGTATCTTTGTACAAGTGTCTGTGTGTGTATGCGATCACGTTGCACACGTACTGCAAGCAAGTATTTTCGCGTAAGTCATCATTCAGATAATACGGCAAACCGTGACGTGCTGGTCGTCAAAATCCTGTCGTTCTTTCCAGGAATAAGGTTTAGCCTGTATGGGCGGTCTATGTTTTCGTTTTTTTTTTCCGATTTTATTTTCCAACGACTAACAGTAATGCAATGCATTCGTAAAACTCTCTTGACAAAAGAGACAGTGAAATAAATGAAAGGTTAAAAAGGTTCTTGCTTATCGTAGAGAGCCCGTTCTACCGAGAGGTACTAACAGAAGCCCGACTTAAATTGCTCAAAAAGCGCTAATCATTATAATACCCTGTTAGACCTCGCCCGAGCACGATCACGATGAGTGTTATCATATGTTAGCTTAGAAACTGTCATCTTAGACATTAGTTTTCCGGTGCCATAGCTTTACTAATGGACCGTGCGTTTTGGAACTGAGCGAGCAAAAACATTCGTAGGTTTAGCATAATCCACTATTCAAGTAAATTATGTTAAAAGATCGAACAAATAGGACAAGGCGAGTCATCGAAATGTAGTTGCAGATCCATCGGAAATAGCGAAAAACTTTTAACTTGTACTTATTATGGCAAAATAAACAAAGTTCCTCTATATATATAAACTAAAGTAAGATTTAGCATCCGTCTATTTTAAGTTCCTATCGTTTTAGCCGCTAGTTTGCGCTCGAGAAATTGCGCTCTTGTTCAAACCGCACATGACTTGTATGAGATAAAAAATGATCTAATAACCGTTAACGTCTTATTGTTATTATCACGACGCTACTTTAGGTGAACTCAAGTCACGTATGTCTCTAACCGTCGTTAAAAGGTGGATTCGTGATATGGCTTAGTACTAATACTCACGACTGTTATAAAGTATGGGATGCTCTGTTCACTAAAACAATCTGTGCGATTGTGGAGTGGGTACGGTCAACTATTTTACCTATTCTTATCTATTGTTTCGTTAGCTTAGTTACTTTTTCTATTGCTCTCCAAACATTTAGATACTTTGGATAATAAGCTTTGTTCGTCCAATTCAAACTATACGCAAATTTGAACTTGAATGTATACTGAAGTAGTCAATTCAGTCTCAATTATCTATATAGTATGTATTAATGTGCATTGAAGGAGAGCGTAGCGTTATTATTTGAAAAACTTTGTACCCTAGTAGGGCCTTTGAAATGCACAAAAAAGACCGAGCATATGTAAGGAGGTCGCAATCTACCCATTTCAGTAACCTATAGGATAAAATCAAAACACAGTTTCCCGGGTAAATTTACGGAAGGAGACCCGTTTGTGTCGCATCAAAACGAAACTATGCTTCATCTTAAAGCTGCGATGAAGCACACCGTCGCCTTCATCCTGGCGTCGTTTGTGACAACATCTACCGGTAAGTACAAGCATACAAAGCAACAAGCGGACATCATTTCACTGTCTTTGAATATATATATGTAAGTACATTAAGTATAGTTTACATACTTAGTAGAAACAGGCATCATTCGGAAAAACTAAAAACGCAAGCCTAGTTCCTTTTTTCAAACATCGTTCCATCGTAGCGACAACGTTAATTTTCTTCTTGAAGAAGTTCGCAAAATTCTTCTCCCGTCACCAGATAGTATCGGCTAGAGTTAAATTTTATATAATATAAAATACCGATGTTTTTCATCGCTGATTTAGCTGGAACTCCAAGATCTCAACTGTTCGCCTGTATTGAGCTGCCGACTTGGCTAGCAACTGGCCCTACATCATACACTGTAAAAATGATCGAAAGAGTTTTAAACGTTTCGGGTGTATTTCTTGCCACGGGTGCGCGAACAACTGAAGAACAATCTAATTTCGAGCCAATGGATTTTCACGCAACAATAACAACACAGTTTCCTAGCGCATTTGAAAATGGCAGCTATTTGCCATCATCTTATCGTCTTGCCGCTAAATTGGTAAGCGCTGCGCCGAGGGATACGTTCGTTTATCAAGCTAAACCTTCAAGTAACATCATCGCGCTGGATACATCAGCAATCCCGAATGATGTAAAAATGCCTCCTATAATATTAGGACAGCCCGGTACACCGAACCCTAACCTCGGTTTAGAATTCCGAAATACACTCGTAAGTTTACTGCACTTTCACGAATTTAAAGCCATATTTTTGCTCAGTAATTGTCGTTTAGTACATTAAATTTAAACCACAAAATACCGAAACCTCTTGACATATATTGAACTAGGTTCATATGATCTAATTTAACGTAGGTATGATCCAGGTAGATGCACATCCCAGAAAGCACACCCCAAACATTTTTCTTATTCTGTAGCAAGATTTTGTGCGGAGTCCACTCTGTCAACGTAATCAACGGTAACGTTACTACTGAGCCATCTCTCGCAGCGGTTCTTACTAGGTCTAAACATTATAACTGGATAGTCTTTGCATGGACATCTTATAATTGGAACCAACAAATTAAACCAGCTATAAAACCCTATTCCAAATTTAAATCGGTTTCATTTGTTTTTAATATTGGAGGAGAGAAGCAAATACAGGATTATAGTAGGTTCACATTTATGCGTACAATTAGGAAAGAATTGGACCACAGTTTCTTTTTAAGGTTAAAACTGAAAAAAAGGACATCTCGACGACCTGTATTACGCGCCTGCCACGATGTACTATTACATAATAGTAACTCCCAGCAATTAATCGAACGGCGCACGGCTGTTTAGGGAGCTAGAACAAAATGTACGTGCTATAGCGCGAACCATATAGTGGCAAGGTTGATTACAAAAATCCTTTTTGGAATTTCGTTGACTAAGGTTATCTCCTCAATTACTTCTCTCCTCGTTTGCTACTAACGATGCTACTAACGAGCATGAGATGTAATGAAGTATAATATCTTTAATGTAGGTTAAGGCTTGCAAGTCTGCTTTCCCCGATATCAGCATTCGCGACCTGGATGCTACGCCATTTCGCTATCAGAACTGTTCAGTGGTCTGTGTTCTTGGGTTCCCCCCGGTTCCTATCCCCGACGGCGAAATATGTTATCTGCAGGTGAACTACCTCACAAAGAAAACAAGGTGTTCAATATTAGTCCTAGTCAAAACCAGGACGTTACAACAATATATATTTTTCTCAACTCGCATAATTCTCGTCAGGGCTAACACCACTAATCATGTTCACGCGTTAGCCCAGAACCTATCTGTGTGTTTGTGAACTAAAGTAATACATATACATTATCTTATGCATTATTGTAGGATGACACATAGAAATGTTTTACACGCTTATGTGTTGAGTTGCTCAAAGAGTAGGTCCTGCCGCTACATAAAATTTCTATGTGAATCACAGTTATTGATAATGATGGGATTAATAGCCAGAAAATTCAGCAGGAACAAGTTGGAAAAGACTATTAAATGGTGTAAACAATACGGTAATGACGATGGCTCTCGCACAGTTGTCGTTCCATGCGTTTTTACCTCATATTGTAATTCGAAGATTTTCACCAACTTTTTCGATTTATTGTTGTGCTTTTATAGATAAATTCCACCACGACACTGGGTCGATGCCGAAATAAAGGGTGCATATAACCACGGAAACGCGGAAAACTTCCCAGCGAACTTCGTCACAAACTGTTTTATTGAGAGCCAATCTGATGTCATATGTTGTGGAGTCAGAAAGGCTTGACCTCAAGGACGATTATTAGTATTCATTTAAGCTAATTAATGAAGTGTCTATCTCAAAAAGAACTGACAGATAACCCACGTAATAAACATGGTAGTTTAGGACTGAAGATGGCGTATATTTTGATTTTTAATTTTTTTTCACAACCTCAAAGAATTGTGACACATATTGTAAGTAAGAAATAATAACAATAGTTTTAGTTGTTTACTTACTTCGTTTACACAATCAAACTCTAAACCCATAACGAATTTTGTTGGTACCTGGAAATTTAGAGCATGCGATAAGATGAATCAAACACCGCCAGAGATCCAAACGTGACATTGGGACTTATTTTTATATTTGACTGTAAGCTGGCCTTAAAACGAAGGTCACGCACATTCTTGCTAAGGACAGAATCGAATTATCATCCAAGGTACCTTGCACTATTTGAGCTCGAATTAGCTATAAAAATTTTTCTCGATTTAGGCTTTTAGTTCGAAGCTCACAATGACCCTTGGAATTCAATAGAGCACGGAGTCATCGATAAAATATACAAACGGAACTGAATATGTACATATGTAACCAATTTTTTAAAATCGTACTAATTTAAAATTAACTACTATTTTTGCATCATCACTGATATGAGTGTTGTTTGGTATAATGACCGGTAACTTGGTAACGAAAAATGACTTCGTTGGTATCTCCTTGGCTTCTGCTTAGGTAAGGTACCTAGACTGCCGTATCCCCACCGTGAAGTTGTTTAGGCTACAATCGTACTTGAAATTCGTCTGTGTAATGAATAAGCAACAATCACTTGTGTTGATCAAATTCATCATGGCAATATGTTATCTGAAAGAACAAAGTAACCTGTGGCCTCAACTTTTGTCAACCTGCTCCTGGGGCGTTTTATATCACAAACATGAGTGAGGCCTGAATGTTAGTAAATTTTCCCGCAGTTTACCCGTATTAGAGGCCTGAATACCCGGTCATAAAAAAAAAAACATCCTCGTCAAAGTGTCAAAGTCCTAGATAGGTAGACCATATTTCCTGATTGCGCTAATCAAAAGTCATCTAACTTTCAGACCACTAACTGGCGATGTTTTAAAGAATCAACAGGCTACGAATTTCGTACTATTATTCATTGATGCGCAGATAGATGATGGGCGCCCGAAAAGTGTAAGGAATTCGCAATACTCCCCAGGACCAGTAAATACGACGAATACAAACAAATACTAACAGTAAATGCAGCGGTTGCAGTAGTAGCAGCAACAAATTAAACAACGGTCTCAGAAAACGTGCCAGAGAAAAGGTCAATTAGGCTACCAGTGTCGATTTCTTTTCTCAATCCAGCTTCAACGAATTGAATAATCACACAGCTCTTTTTTTTTCTGCTATCAAAAAACCAACATAGAACAATTGATAAAACTGAAGTTCGTCGCTTTCGTGGCTATCGGCCTCAATTGTCTATTACGCTGCTGCCACCCCGTTGTAGCCTCGTCGACTATCACCATCTGTGCCGACTTGCGCACTCCCACTGTGGCCAGGTACGCCGTTGTTACTTCATCGTTCATTTCCACTTGCTCTGACTCGTACGCTCCAGTTATTGCCAGATACGCTGCTAAAATCCGCGCACTCTTTGGCTGCTGGTCTTGACTGAACTATATGGCAAAGGCTAGCGACAAGGGACTTATGCCTCTCGAAGGCATTTGGTACAATTTGGAAATTCAGAAGCAACATCAACATGTCGTGAATAATATCTTATTAAGCAGGTAACAAGAGAGGTAAAAACAATGTTTTGAGGAAAAATAAAAATGTTTAATTACGAGCGTGTTATTTATTCGCTAAATTGTTTTTCTTGGGGATAAAGTCAATGTGTAAGATTAGGATAATACGACACAATGGTAAATGCCCAATAGTTTTTCCTGTGAACGGTGTAACTCTTTTCTTATCGCTTCGAAGACCAGCGCGAAGAAAAATGGGAATTAAACGACATAGTCGGGAGAAAAGGACGCGGGTCAGGGACTATATTAGGACGCGTAAGGTTTACACGGAATAGAGTAGTGGCGAAGGACAAAAAGTGAAAGCGTTACTCACTTCGTTCAGGCTGATGTGGACTGTCGAATCGGTGGTACAAGAAAAGATATGAATGGCACCCAGTGCCACTCAGTCACTGCGAGTTTAGTACTAACAAAGTACCGAGAATCCCTAAATCCCTTTGAGGTCGACGAAAAATATTTTAACTTCGGTATGACAGCCTTATAGTATAAATGATAATACGCAGCTTTTTGAGGAAGGGTTTGAAAAACAAAATGCTTTTTAGCAATACGATAAAATGCTGAACGCATAGCATGAAGTTGAAAAACACAACACAAGCTTAAGGATGTTACGTTGTCTAATAGGTACTAAGTACAGCAGGCTATATAGCGTATAGCAAAAGGAGAACCCGCATTTATAGTAGCAGTGTATAACGGAGTAAGAAACAACAGGACAGTGGTCTGATAGGCTAAAGATCCAAAAAAATCGATCCCTAATTTGCGTGAGCATGTTAAGCCGACAACTGAGGTGTGGCCAAGACAGTCAGAACGGCTCACAGGCTCAAGTATGTGCAAAAAACTGAAAGGTACGCAATTTCTACTAACTGTCAGTGCGTTATCGTTGAAAGCCTGTAGATTGGCACTCAGATTTCTCAAAAGAGATGTAGACGGTCGATAAAATAGGGTACCAAGATATCCTTAACAAAAAGCACCAGCGTGAATGATTAGGATAAGCACATATCTCCATTTAGATATCATGTTGTTACCGTGTTACAGTCAGGGTCTAAGCAAATCTGTCGCAATTAAAGATGGCCGCGAAGGTATGTTGGTTCCTTGTTTTTGTTTAAATGTGATGTAGGCGTATGCTCCTAGAGTCGTTAGTGGCAAGATATTGATGAGTGTGAGCAGTGAATCACGTACCACTAATAAAACACGTATTAAAGTCGAAGGAGGTCCGCCAAGGAAATTCTGAAGCACGTCAGATCTTTTGCCCATCGCTACGCTGTTCGACTTCTAGAACGCTTTCTTACTTGTACATTCGTAACCAGCGAATTATCTACTTCGTAGTACCTATCTATCGGAGGTGAAGTTTACCAGTTAGAATACCCATGATGGGATCGGTTGAATATACACTCAGCTTAGGAAATCACAGTAATTGGAGGTAACACTAGGTCTAACGAGGCATTATATTCACTAAAGCAGAATAAAAAAACAAAAGTACATAAAATCTACATTTTTTGCTAAACTCTAGATAGAAACAATCGAATTCAACGATTCATGCAAAACCCATTCCTTCTAACAAAAATACGCATAGCTAACTATTGAAGCAAAACCAAATGACATACATTTTTCTTTCTGTAACTTCATATTGAATGCAAATCATGATCGGCAGATATACAGTTATCACTATGATGTGGTCTTAACGGGCACAGTTTAACCTTACTGCTCACAATATTACGGCGATAATGATAGACTTGAGAGCTTTTTAAAAAGATATCTATTCAAAAATATGTTCATGATAAACATGAGGTCAAAGTGACCGAAGTATATTTTGTGCCGCTGTTTTATTAAAAGTTTTTTTTTGTAGGAAAAAATTACAAATATTCAATATCTCTTCGATCTGAAATTTACAGCCTAAGTAGTAAAAAGCAGCCGCGAACAGTGGTTTAAAAAGCAGAGAGCATTACACGTTTAATTCTATTGAAATGAAGGACAGACACCCTTTTTGGCAGAAATGTGAAAGTTTCAATTCATTTCCAAAATGTAGTTTAACTAATCCATTTGAATCTTTACCGGCTCGGTACCTTAGTTTCTAGAGGGAACAATTTATAAGCAACACAGAAGGTTATTTACGAATTGCTCGAGAAGTAAGCAGTAAGTAATTCTTAGTAAATAAGACAAAAGTTATGTATTTATTAGATAATACAATATTCATGCAATAAAAAGAATCGAATATGACGGCAGGACCACACACTACGTATTTCACAACAACATGTACGTATTCTATTCTGCCTACCTCTAACCTACTATCTGATTGACCAGCCACTTAACCTAGGAAGTTAAGTCAAGCGGCTATGCAAAAAGGTGCTGAGACTATTTTTCTGGTTTGCATGAAGGTCGCCATGCGTAAAAATATGAACTTGGTAAATGAAGCATACAGGAATCAATCACGATTTAAAATACTCGTTGTTGATGAGCTCTATCTAGGACTATTCTTCTTGGTAGGGGTATTTATTTTGGTACTATGTTGAAGGAAGCTATGATGCTTTGGAAAGATATCTGTAATCCCTGTTACATACCTTTTATAAAATGACCTTTACGAATAACGCAGATGAGTAGGCGATTCGTCTCTGAGCTGATCTCGCTGCCGATTTCAAAATAAGCACATCACTGTCTCATCATCGAATAAGCGAAAAAATAAAGACCACACCACGAAAAATCTATTTAAAATGTTTATAAGACGGTTACACTTCAGTTCACATCTGAGAAAAATGAGTAAAACACAGAAGCAAAACACACCCTGCAAAAACGTACACCAGCTTCTAAAACCGGGTTCGTCTAAACACTTGATAGTGAAAATACCTGGTAGACCCATTATAGATAAAATTTTAAATAAAATACCTGCAAAATTACATATAAAATTAGATTTATTTTGAGCTAGAAGAAAAAGACGCCTCCGACAGCAATGTTCTTAACCGTTCCTCAGTGAGATCGGGAAAGAAAAAGTGGACTTCGCGCCTTACATTGTCCGGCGAATTGGATCCGTGTGCCGCGTTTCGAGTGTCCGTCAATCCAAATTGGCCTCGCAAACTGTCGGGATCTTCAAAAACAGCTTTGAAAACCTAATTCGTGGTAAGCACAACGCAAAACAATAGCATGTTCCATACTAATTATACATGCATATGTTCGTGCAATTATGGCTTAGCCTATGAAGCCCGTAATAAAATTTTACCACAGTACGTAATTTAGCTCACAGCCGTATTGGACATACGTCGTTACAAGGTCAGCAAGTCTTCGATAAAATGCATCAGGTTATAATAAAAGCTAAATTTGATAGAAGAGATGATCATCAGTTTCTAGTTCTTTTTTTTCATTCAATCTTTAAGGCATAAGGTTTTTTTTATTTGCATTGGGGACAATGTGTTCATAAAGCGTTTGACCAGAGGGATTTTTTTGGGCAGCTCTATTAAAAACAATACGCCAGACATGGCTCTGGAACTCGCGAATACAACTTTCGAGGGTCACCACACATGTACTACCTATGGGTAAATAAGTGTAAAGCTACCTTTGTAGGTCCAAGAAGGGCTCTCCAGTTGGGAATTGTTGTTTCGCCTTGATGAAGTATCCACACGAGAACTGGTCCTGACGACATATACGTTGTCAATCGGTTGAAAAAAAATTTTCCGGCGTGCTCTTCGTAAAATGTTTCCATTTCCTAATTATTGAGCCCAAAACGTATTACACGCCACCCTAATACCATATATGCGTTCCTTTTTAATTAAACTGTCCTCAAGCCTTCCAAACTAACTTTTGATTCGTTCTAGTAATTTGCAAGCCTTTTCCGTTGAAAAAACAAGTTTTCTATTAAATACGCTTTCATTTATCGACGATTACTAAACATTAAGGATTTGATTACCACAAAAGAGGTGCTAACCTTTGACTGCAGGCATTTAAATGCTGTCAAAGAACATCATAACCTACATTGACTACATAAAAAAGTTATTTTTTAGTAAAGTTAGAATGAACATAAATCAGCTGTAAATCAATTATGATGGCCTATATCTACTAGATATTATTATGATTCAAATTACAACAATGGTCTTAAGTGGTAGCTTGTATCCTATCGATATACATGCGCGTCACAATATTTATATAAAGAAATACTTCTAGATATCATATTTATTCGATTAATCTATTTTTACAGATTTCGTAAAGAATTAATAAAGTAACCAACCTTTATCGTGTACCTGCGGTACTGTTCCGCAAGTACCTTAAAGCCATTTTCATTAATAAGCTCCCTGATTCGAGCCAATTTTGGAGGACACGCACAGACGTCCGGTTTGATAATTGCCAATGTTATCCGACTGAACATTTTAACGCTGTAAGGAAGAGATACAAAAACAAGCTGAGCTAGTAAGTGTATTAATAAAGAACGGTCTTAAAAAGATCTTAGAAAGAAAAATTATCTTTTTTCCCGTTCAGACTTCAACAAAAACACACATTACTTATGACAGTGATTATTTTCTCTACGAATGTTGACAGCTACTCAGTGACCCGAATACGGTAGCTGACTAAATATTTAGCTTTGATTTGGTCTTCTCGAACACTCAAAGTTTACTCACTCCGATTAAGTTAGACTCTTGAATAAATGAAAGGTTTACAGGCACATTACAAAAGTGTCTTTATTACATCAAACACGAAGTTTGAAAACAATTCGTTGCAATATATTTTTATTTACTTTCTTCGATTTTTATATTTGTCTTGGTCGAGTAGTATTGAACAATTCTGCCCAATACGCTCATTTTTATTAAACTAGATAAAAAAAGGTTCATAAAAAATTGCTGAATGTTGGTTTAAGTCATATTTTTCGCGCAGGACAACCAAACATTTGAGCTCACTTTTGTTCAAAACGAGGTTCACCAGCGTGCGCATAGAAAGTTCGCTTAGTTGATTCGCCCCAAAAATGGAACTGTGGAACACGGTCTACTACGAAAGACTATTTTCAGCTAGTGCTCCACTTAACTTCAGATTAGAAGATCGTGACCGATTGGCAACTTAAGATGGTTTGATGCGTCAAGTATATTCTCAACATGCCTATACCAGATCATGGTTGGTGACAATGAAGCTTCTATGGCTAACGTCGATCGGTCAGCTGCGGTAATAACATCGAATGAATGAAGAGCGACTAACCAGAAACACCTCATTGCCTAACTATTTTGCCACTGAATAAGTACGCATAATAGAGATTCCATATATGCGAGGCTCAATATTTTTTACAATTTAGAATAGAAATTACAGTATTACTATAGCAGGAACATATAGTTCCACTTGAAACAAGTAACACTAAACTTAAACACACCCGGAAGCTGATGCAGCAGTAATTTGCTTTTGTAGTTTAACTTTGTAACAAAAATTATGTAGTTTTATAACTCTGAACAAAAATGACGCTACTTTCTGACGTTTAACTTAATACGTAGAAATTATTCGGGCTACAGTGTTGTAGAAGCGATTAGCCTAAGTCAATCTGTCGGCTACCGTTTAAACATTTTTCACACCCTTAATGAAATCATCGATAGAACGGGAAGTATTTATATAGTAGCATGTCCTCTGTGCTAAGTGGCAAACTTCAAATATGTAACAAGTGGCAAGGTGGTACTAAAATCGCCTTAGTTTCATTTGAATTTTGAATAGATGTATTTCGAAGGAATTAGTGTTTTGGCAAAAAGCCTAGTTCGCCTTCGCGGAACTGGTACATTACCGCTCCTCAATGCTCTTCTTACGAATGAGATTAACACTACAAACCCGGTTCGTATTTTCTTTTACACACTCGGTTACCGTTTCCTTCACAGGTTTTCATAACAAACTGCATATATATGTGATTATAATATTAACGTTTCAGCAATGCACAATATAAAAATTTGTTTTAGAGTAATGATGAACGCTTGATAGAAAATAATTTAGCTGCATTGGCAATTACCTATCTAAACGTTAGCTAAACAATCTGCCAGATTCTGGGCTTTTAGCAATTTTTTTCTTTTTCTCACTTTCTATACGTGTCGATGTATCTTACAGTTACTTAGAAAATTTAGAAAGAGTTTAGCCATCGAGAATGTTTATTTATATCAGCTAATTGATTTCAGGTCATCTATTCGTATTTATTAAATAGCCAAGGAAGAGTTCTGTTTGATCTTTTCCTGTACAAGCTCAATGACAACGATGTCCTTCTTGAGGTCGATAGGTCAGCGGAACAGTCACTAATTAAGGTATTTTATTCTTTCAAATCAGTTTAACTTTACGTATCTATTACGAGAAGAGTAAATGAAAAACGAACGTTTACATTTCTTAGTTTAATTTAGAGTATAAAGCTGAAAAAAACTCTACGTTTAATTGAACAGGTTCTGAATTTTTACAAGCTTCGCCGTCCGGTTGATATTGCGAGCTCATCTCTGGTAGCCTGTGTGGCATCGGACGCCCAAAGCGCGGCAGTTGTACAAGATATCGATCCCCGCTTACCCCAACTGGGTCATAAAGTTGTGCTGGGTAAGAATTTGAGTATAAATTCGCTTGAAATTTGGAGACGAATACAACATTTCGCATGTTTTGTCACCGTGTTTCGTATTGATTCTGTACAAAACGAGAGGTTTTCTAGTGTTGACCTTTAAATATTTCTGCTGTTATCCATTGCATCGCACGTATGTGACTAATAGCTTATACCTCTACTTACCCGCGATTAAAGCACATTACTTTATTCCAAGATTGCCTGGATACAATTCATTAAAAAAATACCATGCTGCTGCCTGACGGATTTTCAGAAAAATCGCCCGCAAATGCTAAAACTGCAGATGTCTACTGCGAACTACGCTACCGACTCGGTGTTCCTGAAGGCATCAGCGAGCTCGGCCTCGGTAAAGCGATACCGTTAGAATCCAATGGCGATTACCTCAAAGCTATATCTTTTGAAAAGGGATGCTACATCGGCCAAGAGCTTACTGCCAGGGCGTACCATACAGGTAGTGATTGAGGTGACGAATTCACGAAACAAGGAAAAGTAGCCATAGTGAATACTTGTTCCACTATTCTATGCCCATAACTGTCGGTAATGGTACTTCGAACAAAAACCTAACAGTCCACTGTAATGTGACTGTTTTAGGCATCGTGCGTAAGCGATTTATGCCGCTAAAATTCAGCGAAGTTCTTCAAGGATTCAAGCCTGGAAGTGATGCCTCCGTGTTAAACGAAAAGGATTCAAAGGTTAACAAAGTACAACACGAATCACGCATAAGAGAATGACTTGATCTTGCTTGTGATTTTGTAACCATCTTTTAGATTACAATTTGTATATGAGATATTCTCTCTAAGGCCTCTCTTCAGTTTGTATGGTTACTTCTCATAACATTTTGAACAGTAATTATTTAATTAATATATCGACATTACTCTAATTTTCATTCTGTCTTCTAGGTGGGTGTCCTAAAAGCCGCTCAAGGTATTCGAGGTTTGGGCTTGATGCGGATAAAGGAGTCTCTGGAAGCTGAAATGCTGAAAACTGATAAGTACGCAAATGTACAGCTCACTATAGCTATCCCTACGTGGTGGCCGAAAAATCGCTAATTAAAAATTAAAAAAAAAAGTCAAACTTATTAATGAAGTGTAATTGGAGAAGATAATTAAACAAGTTATTTCCTTCAACTATGTTTGTGTCTTTAGTTTTTGACAGTAATATCTGATCAATGACGATGTATGAAATATACTTTTAGCAAGCCTATTAGGCGGCATTACTAGTTGATTTTGCTACCAAAAAAAAGTTCTGTTGCCTCATCGATGTACTGCAACAAACATCCAGACAAGAGTAACTCCCTAAATATCCCCAATGCATTTTAATGCCGTTAGGTATTTATTGTGCAATCCATTTTGATGATCATATTCTGTTTGAAAGCAAATTAACTATAGTAAATGTTTCTAGCTCTACTCCAGGAATTATTGAGCGAATAACTCCAAGCACGAAATAAACAAGCCTACTCAGATTCGAGCTTAGGATTCATATGTCCTTGGCTTTAAAATAGTAGGCAGGCACGTGAGAAAATTGCCTATGTCACCTTGACTGATTTGCCTAACAGGCTTTTGTAAGCGTACTCATTTCATTTTTCTCTTGGTATATACATAGAAATATTTATTTATATTTACTGAACAGTCATGAATTATTATGGATATGTCATACACAAACTTAACAGGAGGTTATCCCGATAAATGCTGCCTTCAGCTTGTAATGAACTGCATACTCTAGCCCTCTCCACTAAAGATCAAACCAGATAAGTAAGTGCATATTCATTCAACTCATCGAAGTAAACGCCGTGTCTCTTCCTTTTCCTCTCGAACAGTTTGCGGTTCGCGCGTAGGTATCTTCGCAGCTTTTTTCAAAATAACTCTCGATTCGGATTCTAAACCACATTAGTACAAATCGAAACGTATTTATCATCCCCTCAGTATTCAGTCCTTCCATTCCTCACCGGTCTTTTCTTGATTTTTATCATCTTCTTCGGCATCATCTTCATACGCGTTTTTTCCAGTTGAACTGTCAACACGACAAGAGTCCTCTTCGCTTTCATTTCTCAAAAACTCCCTCAACAGCATGGTGGCGTACGCCGCTGGCGGTAGCGAGAATGCTAATACAACTGCTGTCCGTTCATTGGCCGTTTCATCTGACGCTTCGGCAGCTTTTGAGGTTGTCCCTTCTTCGGCAGTCTCTACACCGTTGTTCTTGACCTCTTCGTTTGTGGATTTTCTTCTTTTTGGCTCAAAAATAGCCTCTCCGTTCTCTGTCTTTTCAGCGTTTTCCAACTCGCGACGCATGTGCTTAATCTGAATCAGACGTAAAAGCTACTATCGTATAAACAGCGTATCTAATAGCACGATTATGATGATGCATTATTACGATGCTCCCGGAATGAAACCGTGGAAAAATAAGTTTTGCGTACATGATAGATCTACGCACATTTGCATAGATTTCTGATAAATACCGACTTTTGGAACCCCAAAAACAAAACAGATTTCTGCTGTAACTGTATGCAAAGAGCTTAAAAGCAAAAAAAAAAGTCGACTTTTTTTGCCTTTATTGAAATCTCACCTGGATCTTTTTTGCTTCGGCAGCTCGCAACTTTTCATCCGACTCCAACATAATATCCCAATCGGTTTTCACCAACGGCTGATTCGGGTCGGTATATTTTTTGATCTACGGCAAATTTTCAAAACAGAAGGATTCATTTCACTACGTGTATTTTTAGATACTTAACGATGTGAATTTCAAGGCTTTCAGTGCATATATATATAGTCATGATATGCTATCGTAATCGTCTAATACACCTGATTATTTCTGACACACTTCACGATTATCATTCAATTGTATCGTTTCTTAACAACTCGCTGTTCGCTAATTCAATCGCTAAGTAAGTATTTTAAAAAGTTAGATATTGCTACGTTATATTGCCTGTATCTAATATGGTATTCTACAGGATGTTGATAATCGCTGTTGCTAAGTCCTACCTCATACTGAAGGTCACCGGGCAAACAGAAGATTTTTCGATAACTGCCCCGCATTGAAAATGAGCGATTTTTGCTGTTAAAACAATCGAGACCTTGAAAACCATCGGCTTTGACAATCTCAGTGTACCACTCGCTCTGCTCGTTCCGTGGATACTTCATCGCGTAGCCTGGTAAAGGCAGTACGACATTCCAAACGCTGAATAATGACATATTTTCTTTTGTTATCACCTATAAATAAAGACAGGCACGAATAAAAAGACCCCTGAACTACGAGCAAAGAAACTATATTTTACGTTATCACCGATTGCAGTGGCACTAGCTATCTATATAGTATAACTGCATATGCCTGCTATTGAAACCAGACTTTAATGAACTTAAGCAATGTAGTTAAAACTTGCTCAGAATGTCCGGTACCACGCACAACAAAACGCTAAAAGTTACTGCCATGCAAATACTTATGTTTTAGTTATGAGGCCGCAAGGCTTATACCTGAATAGGTGCTTGGTCTCCATCATCTTTCACATCCGCGCTGAGGACCAGATCTCCCTCGAGTAGCTCGATTCCATACCGTGCAACACGCCTATAGCCATGAATATAATTTACAAGTAAGAAACCACTACATCTAGTTGTAACAGTTTGCTGATTTATCGATGTTATTTTCTATTCTGACTTTATAATTGGTGATTTAAAATTATATAGTTACTATTTAATCGTGCTCTTAAGAACAGCACACGTTGGTTACGAAATGCATGCTTAGGGATGCCCTTAAATTATTATGTTTCCTGACAAAAGAAGCAAGAAAAAAAGGGCGAAGAAAAAATTGAAGAAAAAGAAGAACACGAGTATAAATTATCTCACCTTGATACGACGCTATTCCACACATAACTTTGGTAGGCATGAATATACAAGAGGCGGGTATTCTTCTGTAGAGCGAACAGGGCAGACTAAAAGAAACAACTTCATTACTTTACGACAAGGCCAACTAAAAATGAAATCTTCAAAGCCATGCATGCTGTGTACTTGATAGTGGAACATTCGTCCTTAAGTTTTGTGAAAGTCTTAAAAATATGTTGTATGAACGGTGGAACAAGTGCACATAAAGCTAAGCAGGTACATAATAGTTCCCTGGGTCCTTTGCGATCGCCGCTAGAAGGTATCCTTCTGGAGAATTTTGAGATCCTCGAGTCGTGAGCAGCGCGTGCGAAGCGGCCGCATCACGCGTTTTCTTCCAGTGAACTCTGGCGGCATCAAGATCGGGTCGAGGCCGTCCACCAGACCGAGGCCGTAAAATAAGGTCACAAGCAGCTTCCATATCGTTCGCCAACATTTTTTTACCTAAGACAAATACAGCATTAAACACTGGACCGTTTAAAAAGGATTTTAAAGCGATACATTTCTAATACGTATTTCCCAAAAATATTAGACAATGTCAAACATGTTACCGTTGGCTCGTATTGATACCCAACAAATTGAAAATTAAAAAAGGACTTAGATCTGTTTTCGGTCGTATCTGGTTGAAGGCAGTGGGGAGTATTGGAGCGTCCACTCGTTTCCACGCGTTTTCCCTACAAAAGTTATGACGCAGCTCGAACATAAATCTACGATGAACGCGCTTAGATATGACCTTAATAAATAAAAAGTATATCTACATTACACAATAACAGAAATTTCAGATAAAAAAGGGGAAAAAAGACAATGTGAAAAAGACTGCTAACCAATATCATGTGTGGGTATACTCGTCGTTCCAAATCTCTGAAGACCGAAGTAATTGATAAAACCTTTGCAGCGGAGAACCTCGAGAGCTTCTGTGATTTCCTCGCCACTTCCTCCGGTTACGTCTCTATCAGAAATTTATGATTTTCATTTTTATTCGTCTTAGTATTATTACTATCTAACTATTCAATATTCACTGTTCAGTCAGAAGTTCTTTACCGGTGAATGAACGGTTGAATCCAATAATTTATAAATATAATAATAGTTTTCATAATAATAATAAGTCTAAATTGATGGAATTAATTTGAACTCCCACAAAGAATAGTTCTGTGAGGATTTCTTAAAGACGCATATAAACGAACAATGCTTTATTTATGTATAGATAAAAATTAATGCAAAAAAATTATTTGGTATGTTGCTAATTTCACAACAGCGTCCACCGACATAACACGAAACATATTTCCTATTTGGTCATCGTAACACAAAAAATGTCTTTAGATAATTTCAACGTCTCAACTTAAGCTATGCCTAAAGGACAATTCTGTTGTCCTACCTCAGAGTGAGGACGAATCTGTTTCCTTTAAGTTCGCCTAGTTGAATCATCTTCTCTCCAAAGTGCACATTTCCAATTTTAAACTTCTCACACCGCTTGTTAATACCTGTAAATTATATAAATCGAAGGTTTCAGTTCCAACAATTGTATGCGGACTTAAAAAATAAAGTAGAAGTTTCAAGCAGAATTTGACAAGGACGCACCAAAGCACGTCATCCTTTATAAAAAAAAACCTTTATTAAGACAACGGTAGAAAAATTAATTAAATTGGACTACAAAGGTAAGTGGATTATTACCGAGCAAATACTCAGGCTTCATTCTGTAGATAGACACCCGCTGCAAGGTAACGGCCCGCTTGTCTTTCGTGCCAGCATAGGCGAACGCAGACGGTTTTGTTCGCGTCAGTCCTGAGATGATGTTTATCGCTTCCATGGTGTCGATATTTTCCTGAGTAAAAAATGAAATGTCGTCAAGCGTTAGATTAGAACAGATAGAACATTAGATTATAACACAGAGGACATACGAATGTTGATTTGATAGTGGACATCCTAAAGATCAAAATAAATACATGTTTTCATTAGTGCTCGATGAAGCTGCGCAAAATGCTATGCTTTCAAATGGCTTTACCATTTTCGCTTGAACCAACCGAGGGAAATACTTATTGTACAAGCAAGCAGACCAAATTTCAGTAGAGTTCTGAACCTTGAAAACATTATGCTAACCTTGTATAATACGAACGTAGTGTGATTAGGTCTTCCATTAGGCCAATAATATCTCTGTCGTTCGCCTCTATGAGCTTTTTTCTTCGTTACAACAATGAACTTTACATTACCTGGAATAACTCAAATGCGTACGTTATGTGTGCTTGCAAACCGGTTCTACAGTAAATAGCATTAACGCAAAATCACTCTATAGTAAACTGAACCATAAGCGACGAACTAGGTGAAGGAAGCATAAATGACGAAAAGATGTAAAGAGCACCGCAGATAAAATATTCAAGTAGATAATAAATGAAACTTTGTCTAAAAATAAAGTCCATTATTCTCTGCTTTATTCAGCGCACCTTCATCCTTAGTTTCACTTTGTAGTGAGGGATATCCATTTCTGATAGCTACGTGCACCTGAGTTCGCTGTCCCTTAGTCAGATTTGTCACATTGACTCTAACCGTGGCCAGTATATCTTCTGACTCTACCATTGCATTTAACTCCTCCTTCACAGTAGGTTCAAGCGCTGCACATAGAAAAAAGGTAATTGTACTTATGCGTGCTATTTAGACTCTGACTTATGTCCTCTTTCTTTTAAGCTTCTGATCCGGTACGACTTTTCATTAGTAAACAAGTAACGTTTGCTTGTTTTTTTTTTAAATTTAATGATCTCCTTGTCTACGGAGATCAACTCATATATGAATTCCTTTTTACTACAGAAGTATAATTAGGAACAAAGCTATTAGCGGAAAACATTTAATCGGTCTACTTTCACTCTATTTTTACAGTACATTTAAAACGATCGATAAACTAATGTAACATCTACTGTAATAAACTACGATAAACTACTATAACATCATATTAATATGATATATATTTAAAGCATATTAACCTTGCGTGCCGGTGTCGTCTTCCTTTACAGGATTTTCAAGGGTTGTAAGTTGGACGACATTTCCCACCGGATCGATTTCTTTAACTATAAAATCAAACGTCCTTGCCTTGAGTTTAGCACGAAATGAAGTCTTTCGGTTTTTGTTAACGTATTCGGAAATGCCCATACTTCTCTCTGAGGGCCTGAAGAACCTAGACCTTTTAGTTGGTGGCTCATCATCATTCGTTGCATTGGTCACCAGCTCATTCAATGAATGAACACGTTTGTCTGATGTCATGACGTATCTTTAGAAAAAGACATCAATAACAAGCCATATATAGTGACGTCAAAACACCTGAAAATGACAAAGGCGTATATCTGTGTAACACGAAAATAGACGAAAAGCGCATGCAATTTAAATACCAACGTCTGCCAAAGTCTGTGTGTACTAACAATATATACTTATTCATATCCAATCAATTAGAATAATTGTACTTAAAAAATTAATTGATATGGGTCCAAACTCTACTTACTTAAATAAGTGATAGGGTCATTGCAAACGTTTTCCTGTGGAACTTATCATCGACGTTTCCTATACCCAGGTTATAACGAGTGAGTTGAAGAGCTTTTGTCAGTAGTACATTGTAGGAACAAGCTTGTCTGTGTTACCAATGAAATAATAAATTTCGCTAATTAAGCAGTAGCATTTATTTAAGGCTTGCTCAGGATGGTGAACACAATGAAGATTGCCGAACAGCAGAAACCAAGTACTAGCGAATACTTGTTTATCCGCCGATGTTGTTTGCAGTCAGAAAGCGCACGTGGGTTTTTTCACATCAGGTCCATTGAAAACGGGAGAGCTATATGAATTGATATTTGATGTATTATACTCCACTCTGTGCTTACAGTGCCATAAAGTTATCACAGACGAGACTCAACCTATGCTTCTTATACATAAATATATACAATTTTACCACCAAATATTGTTTAATATTGTCGTACACCTGATTTTCTAGACGTAAAACTTGGTGAAATACACAATGTCAGTAGTGAGTTATGGTATAGGCAGCGCCCCCTGGTGGATCTTTGATAAGGCTTCAACATTTGCTTACTGGACACATGAGCCAAGTGAGTCGTTATGGGGATTTGTTGAGCTCGGTCCGCTTCTATAGTCAGCGGCATGCGGAAAGAATTCCCTGCGTTCTACTCCGTTGGTGATCACCGTGTAAATGCCTATAGAAAAATACAAATATTATGCGAAAGCGGATTCTGCAATGCTGTGTGTGAGTGATTGTGCTTTTAGACTCGCGGGTTCTGTAGTGTAGTTACATGACCAAATCGGATAACTATTTACGTCCCAGTAAGTCGGCCTATGCACATACATGAAGGTTTTTTTTTTCATTGAAAGAGGTTGACGTGGCAGCTGAAGAGCTGGAACAGCTGTGACACTATAGGACTCATAGTTAGTCATCAGAGGGTCACCAAACTAGTGAGGCTGAAGATGGATACGGAAGATTCTCTTTGTATGGAAATGGCTGCAAGGGCAGTGCAGCATGTCGTTGGCGATCAACAAAATCAGAACGAATACAATTTGGCTGATAGCCTAGTCAGCCTAGTAGACAGGAGTGCGCTTTCGAATAGTTGTCTGGAATATAGCGATACGATTCTAATGTTTTGTCTTATTTGACAAGTGATAAGCAAACATTATCATTCAGCGATTCCACATCAAAAAATCAGTGTAAAAGATACGATATGCATAAGCTAGAACAATATTTGTATCACGGGCGTCTACACATGATTTGACTCGGAATTCGTTTGTCGACATTTCAGTCGAACTGTTTTTAGAAGATGTGTAAGCTAACGTACTAATTTAAATTGTTCAACCGCTTGTGGATTCAGCCCGCACCGTTCTTTGCATTGATATGAATGCTACTTGGAGGTGAAAACCCACAAAGATAGTGCAATGAAAACCAGGTTCACCAGTTTATTTATGTAGTGTGGGTTGTACGTTGTATATTTCTTACCGATGAAAATATGTAACAAATTTTGGAAATATGAAAGTGTATATGGAGACCTTTCGAAATTTAGTGTGCGGAATGATTGGCCTATTTCATTGACGTCATAGGTCTTTCCTATTGGTATCGTGATGTTTTGTTAATGTCATTTAGATGTTTCAATATAGGATTTCTATGTCTTCAGTTAAATGAAGTCAGTTATGGGCCCTCATGTTATTGTTATCAATGAAGAATCCGAACTCGTAACAATTCGAATCTGATCATATTATCTCACATACAGATTTAAATTTTATTAGCAGTAGAACCAAGTAGAAAAACAAGTTCTCTGAAGCTTGCTGATAACACAGAGTGTATGTATATATATTTTTATCGCATTGTCATAAAGATCGACAAATGTTTATAGTTCTATTTCCAAAACAATTCTTTTTATGGTTGGCTTCCAGCCTATTTCTAAAGCATGTCGAAGAGATTTTCTTAAGCTCCTATTGTTAGTTCGACTGTACCTTGCGGATTCGAAATTGAGCTGCCACATTGGCAATCAACAACGCTAAATCATCTTAATGATGTGTGTAAAACAATTAGTGAGCACTTAATACACATAGTGAATCCTGTTTCGCGATATTTTTCTTAGGGATAATCGGTGCATCGGTGTGATGGCAACAAGACCTGTACTGCACGTTATGTTCGATAGGTAGGTATTTTTATTTATAATATATGTATTTATATTTATAATTTGTAGTGCTTAATGAAAAATGTGTATTACATTTGTCGCACTGTAATTTCGTCAGCAATTCGGTAGGATAGGAAACGGCATATAATTGTAACTGAAATATGAAGAAAAGTGAATTTCAAAGGTGAGTGAGGTAATGTGGTGTAATTTTTAATACCTAGTTCCTTGTATCAGCCCGGCATATGTGCTACCTCAAGGGATATCGAGTCTTTACCAACTAGATTGTTAAGCTAAGGGTCTTTTCGAACTGTGTATTAACGCATGCCTATATCAGCAGCTGTTGCCCTCAGACTCACTATAAAAACCGAAAACGGTACGAAATATGTAAATTATACGTCAGAATAAAATCATAGTCAATCGCTACGAGCTTGCGGACAAATTAACTAATCTGGTGTAAACTTTTTTTCATGCAGAATGTCAGCTAATATGAATGTAAACGACACCAGGAAAATTCGAACTCTGAGAGCATTATAACCGACACGGAAGTTTTGGATGAACGAACGAGCCGCGAGGATATTATACCCTGCGGGACAAGCAGTGGTAACGGATATATTCGAATAATAATTTTATCAGTACGAAACCAGGTCGATTAAAAAAAAATGGTGTTAGATATGAACATGTAACGCAGATCATCTCTGAAAACCTTGTTGCTGAATAATTTTACCTGGCTGAGTAAACGCCAAGAAACTTGCCACGTGAAATGCTAATTAAAACACTAAGTGCACATAAGTGACAAGTTCCGTCGCCGTTTCGGGTGATATCTTTTGATTTTGGAAGATTATAATAGTGTTCACGGTAGATGCACATTTTACACTAAATGCCTTTTAAGCCGTGTTTTTCAAAGCACGTTGTGCTTTGTGCCGCATAATAGGTATGTGAAACTAACACGAGGGCGCGGGGAATTTACTTTCGGGTAGAATGCTTGTGTATAGCGCGTCTAACGTTTACTGCTCATCCTTCAATGATATTCGTTGTATGATACTGAATGAGTGCAATGTCTCACGTATTAAAATATCTCCTTAAAGCATAACAATAACATGTATACGTGCCCATCCGAGGGCGCGTATCCGCTCAGTATGGATACCTACGGAACCTCCCTGTGAACTTGTTAGCTTGGTATCTGTGATCCGAACGTGTTTCAGATATAAAGCTTTTGCCGCTTGACGTTATGTGATGCTGACCAACCGCAAACAGAATTTAAAGACCGTCAGCAGTTGGATACCTGAACAGTTTTACACCTATCAACCCTTGCAACAATTATCGGCTCAACTAGCCGAGGTGGGTGAATACAATTGATATACTGATGTACAGCCTGAAACAACCACTTGTCATCGTTTGTCGATTCTCGTAAATTCGTACAACTCTTCCACGTAGGAATTACTTACTAAGGATATACTTCATTAAAATGATCAGTGTAAACGTTTGGAAGGTGCCGTGCGCAGAAAATTGTACAAATTCCTCCTTGTATGGTTTTTTAGATTAGGTAGCTGGCGAAACATACTGGTAGTGCTGTTTCTCTAGGAAATTGGTGACACCACTTCAGGTTTTTTATTCGTAGCATAAGTGAGCGATCGATCAGAACTGGAATTCACAGCTGATCATACTCTGTAGAGCTTTAACTTTGAAATAAAAAACGTTTTACTACAATTTGTTTAGGAGGAGTGTCGGCCGTCGGTCCTCGACCGCCTTCTGGATCCCGGAGACGAGAACTACACGCATCTGCTTCCAAGTAACATGACCTTTCGAGATCGTTCTGTTGAGTTCGCCAATGCCGCCAAACAGATGCAAAGCCGAATGGTTAGTTCAGATTGACTCTGACCGCTTGTATGCAATACACGAGTTCCTAGTTCGAATCAGTAAACCAAATCTACGTTAATAAATAACTAGAAATTAATCCCAAGTTTATATCGTATAATTATTTCCGCTCAAATGTCCTGTGACTTCGAACTGCATTTAAATCTGCTCTAGCAAAAGAAGCTGCTTGTAGTAGAGAACGGTGATGGCCATCCAATTAATGACGAAATTCGAAAAGTGACTATTTGGTAAGAATCATACACTTTATAAGGCCATTATGTTGAAATTAGAATTTAGAAACTAAAACGGAGTTCATACACGTGTTATTGAAATTCCGCAGCATTACATAAGCAGTGAGTGCTTTGAGTGACTTGCTAAATTCCGCATACTTATATAACCAGATTTTGATGTATAGTGTAGAAATAGACTTTTTAATACTTTGTTGCCTAGATACTTGAAGTTGAGTCCAATGTACAATTTTCTGACGCGTTTTTATTTCAAGGGGAATGGCGTCAGGGCTGGCTCCGGCCTGGCCAACCGCCGAAAAGGAATTCGAGGTTTACAGGAGTATTCGTTGTTCATGAGGGCCTCTGCTCAGATTGGTCGCGATATTACGGCTACATTCGTTAAGCTTGAGAAGCTGGCTTTGTTAGCAAAGAAAAAATCGATTTTTGATGATCGGCCTCATGAAATTCAAGAACTGACTTACATTATCAAGCAAGATCTTTCGTCACTCAACAAACAAATAGCCCAGCTTAACGAGGTATAAATATTTTTCTAGCCTGCGATATCTTACATTTTTTTTTGTTCTATGGCTTTAGCGTCTTGGTACAGATGTACTGTCAAATACATTGCATCGTTTAGAACGAACTAATAGGAGCACAGTTTATAGTATTTACAGACGCCTTTAGGATAACATTCCTTTATTCAATATAAAACTATATAGGGGAAAAATATGTAAATTCAGTTCTACGCAGTCGTGTTCGACTCATCTAATACCTATCATGATTCTTTATAACTTATTTTTTAGTCTGGTCTGGCGTCTGGTCTTACGGGAACAACTGGTCGGCATTTGGCGTCACATTCAAATTCTGTGGTAGTCTCATTGCAATCGAAACTAGCGTCAATGTCGAACGACTTCAAACAGGTGAGAATCTACTCGTCCTAGATAGTGAGGCGGGACAGACAATAAAATAATCACTAGTATATCCAATGCAATTTTTGAGTTGAAGTATATTCTGCCATACTTTAGTATAATGACAAGTAAGTAAATATATTCAGTTGCTGTATTCGATTTTTCAAGGTGTGATTTTGCGTGGTTTAAACCGAATTTTATAACCGGACAACTCAATTATCTTTATATCGTCAACTTCTTTACTACAGCTTAGCATATTCCGGTTACATAACTATCGTGTTGGTAATCAAACCACCCTCTGTACTGTAAGTTCGATTTGAATACGCCCCGAAGAACCAGGTCCAGTGCTTGGTAAACGCACATATTTTTTTCCCTTTTATGTGGGTTAAGTTTTGTCGTAAGTGCCTTTAGTATAGAGGTCTATCAAAGACTTTTTTCTATTAAAGACAAAAGAGAGAAAAGGTCTTTTGTAGCTAGAGCATGTTTTAACGAGTGTTTTCTTTCTGACGTCCAGGTACTGGAGGTACGAACAGAAAATCTAAAACAGCAGAAATCGCGTAGAGATCAATTTTCTTCGCCAACTTCGATGACGGCACCTGCTTCAACGCCTTCGTTGCTTGTAGCGGATGAAGAAGCAGCTTTACTGAGAGCCGAGAATACGGCAATCAATATGGATGGTGGTAGGTTTAATTCTATATCATATCGTATCGTATCGTGTGGTTCACTGTAACTTGTAGAAGATTTAGTCTAGACCAATTTAGTTGCCGGTTGCCTTCTTGTAGTACGCCAGCTAATGTGACTTTGGTTATTCATTATCTAATCATAGGGAGCGGCTGGCAAGCTGTCAGCAACGTCCAAACTCAATTGCTACTCCACGATGAGCAAGACTCATACCTGCAGCAGAGGGCAGATGCGATGCAGAGTATAGAAAGCACCATAGTCGAATTGGGAGGAATCTTCCAGCAGCTAGCCCATATGGTCAAGGAGCAGGTGCGTGGACAATGACAAAGAACTTAAATGAAAAAGTTGATTGCTTTTGCAGGCTAATCTCATGCTCCGATTATGTACATATAGGTGATACTGTTTGAAATATATTGACTGAACTTGAAACAAAAATGAGGAAAGATATTAACTATTTAAATATAAAAAAATTCACAGGAAGAAATAATGGTCCGAGTCGATTCGAACATTGAAAACGCGTCACTCAGCGTGGAGGCAGCACATTCCGAACTGCTTAAATATTTCCAGTCGATGACGGGCAACCGGTGGTTGATGATCAAGGTGTTTGGTGTGCTAATTGTATTTTTCATTTTGTTTGTCGTAATCGCCACGTAGCTTCTTGCAGTCTCAAGACGTGCAAACAAGAGTCATAACGTTGTTATCACCAGCTACTGTTATTGGCCGCTTCTACAATCAGTAAACATAGAGTTGTCGATAAAAAATTACTCGTAAAGGGCAAAGACTGTGAGATAAAAGGTACAGCAAATAAATTTAATTTTTTATATGTTAATATCAAAATAGTAGAGATCATTTTCCGATGCAACAGTCGTGTATCATTGGCCAGTGCCAGAACTGTGTCACAGGCAACGATAATTGATTTAATAATCGATATCTTGTCTTTGTAACTTACGAAATTAGCACCCAATTTATTCCTGTTCGAGGCGGGTGTTTTTTAATTTTTAGATTCGCACTAAAAGAATTCCTGTAGTGAGGGCCTGTATCAACATGAGCACAAGACGAGGTGAGTGTCGTTTTTATAATATAAGAAGTTGAAATATATATGTTAATAAAATGACGTCCATAATTTTCTAATCTTGATCAATTGACTTTGAAAGCAGCTTTACCCATGTAGAATGTATGGTGGCAAAAGAGCCGTGTATGTACTAGCCATCGTCTCATATAGCGTAGGGTGACAGTCTTGGTTGAACTTGTAACAAACAGGATATTCAATAGCTAGGTCCGTACGATGTGATACCGCCATTTCTCTACCGCAAACTTTGTCAGAAAAAAAAAACTGATGTATGTTAATATTGCGGAGAACAAAGTTTCCACATTCATCCACTCGCAGGACCGTTGGTATATATATTTCATCTAGTATAATGAAAGCTGATGTTTTCTTTACTATGGGAGACACTAGGTGATGAGAAATCTAGGTGGCAATAATGAGATCTCATACATACAGCACGAATTCGATATATGGATTTAACCGTCAGTATTGAAAGAATTAATAGGAAATCGGAATCTAGGTTGGAGAAGTAGAAAAACAGTAAAAATATAGTGTATCTACCAACATTAGCGCCGGCGATGGGTCGTACGAGGAAAGTATCTACGGGATTATAGATAGCTACTGAACAGCCAAGTTTGTGAAGTTGATTTTTGTAAACACCGGTCGCCAGAAAGGAATGGCTTAGTCAGCTTTCTGCGGTAATAAGAACCGCCGTAAGAGAAACAGTAAATAAAGACATCGGTTCCTATTTGCTGTGGGGATGTATAGAGATGTTTGGCGGATCATGTCATGTTGGTTGGGCGAAAAAGCGATAGACTAAAAAGAAATTGCTCATAGTTTTGAGCTGAAATTTTTATCGTGCACCAAGAGACTAATAGTTATGATGATCGCGTTTTGCAAGAAGAGAGCACACAAATTTGGAAGAAAGCCTCGGTAACATTAGTACAATAAATATATATATGTTGATATAATTGACTTTATGCCAATATGTTTTAGAAGACAAAGATATTGAGATATCATTGTCGTAAAAAATATTACATGAATAAAAGTACGCTAATTTGTGGCGTATCGTTTTCTATCTGCGTTCCTGATTTATATATATATA